TTGGATGTTTGCTTATTGTGCTAATAAATATTTTAGACTTTAATTGGATTTTAGTCCATCTTAGCGTCACTCCCTGCCAGAATCCTTAAGTCTCTGGTATACATCTGGATAGGTCTCGTGAAGAGAAGTTGGGCGTTTCACTGTCGCACATTTGAGCTTAATTATAAATTCCCCAAAATTAGACTTGATTCCCAACAATATAAGTGATACTGGAGTCCTAATAAATAAACATAACATAGTGTGGTATGAAGACTAAGCAGCTCACATTATTGTTTTTCTGGGTAAATTTTCAGAGTTCAGCTTAGACAAGAGAACTTGGATTCTATATGGATTACAGTAACTAGTTCAGGAAAGTAGATATATCTGAACCATACAGGGGAAGTTCAATGGAGGAAGATGACAAATCCCACATCAATATTAGGCTGCATCTGCACTGCAGAAAGAATGCAATTTGGCACCACTTTATCTGCCATGGCTCTATCTCATGGAATCCTGGCATTTGTAGTTTGTTGTGGCATCGGAGCTCTCTTACAGAGAAGACTAAATATTTTACAGAACTGCAAATCCCAGAATTCTATAGTACTGAACCATGTCTGTTAAAGTGGTGTCAAATTGCATTATTTCACCAGTGCAGATGCAGTCTTAGGTGATTGTGAGTTCCTGCATGGCGGGGGTTGGACTGGATGGTCCTTGTGGTTTCTATGAATTCTATGATTCTAGTTATCTTCACAAATTCAGTATTATAAATGTATAAATGAATACACATGTACAATTAACATTAAAGAATATGCCTGTGATGTTTGACTTCTTGATGTATGAAGGCTCTTCAAAAGTAGAAAGAACCAAAGGTGAAAACAAAAATAGTCCCAAATCCTGACTTTTAATATTTATATGTAACAAGCCTTGTGTACACAGATACACACACACATAGACAGACAGTTCAATTTGGCTCAGAGACCAGCATGGTTTGGATGCAAATAAAACAACTGTACATTTGCAAACCTGTTTTTAACCAATTAATTTTTCCTATGGGTGTAGTAGATTAACATAGTCAATGGCTAGAGATGGTTTGAGACTTCAGACAGGGGAACCTCAATTTGCAAATTCCCACAGATTGTAATATTTTCATTTGGGGCACATTTCAAATACACCCATACCTCCTTGTCCTCAACCTGAGGTGAAAAAGAACCATGCCTGCTGCTTCCAGATACCTGTCCCTTCATTGTCTCATATCCAATTTTATTTGTGGAATAGACCAGAAACCAAGCTATGAAATCACAGTTCAAAGGTTTCAGAATAGCTATAGGTACTACAGACTTTTATTTTATTCTATTTCCCGATATTTCCCTGGATTTGATTTCTAGGGTGTTGGTGAGCAGTATAGTACTACATGGTTTATGATGCTCTTCCCATTATTCTGCTTGAGTGTAGATAAAAATTTAATGGGATGGAAAAGTTTGCATGGGGACAACAGTTGCTTTACTAATCAGAACAGTATTGACTTATCATGCCATTCAAAATCATAAAAGAAAAACAAATTCACATGTTACAGAACTGAAATTTAGCCCTGATTTGCTGGATGAGCAAGTTCCCTTCCTCTACTACACAGCCAAAA